ACTGCCTGGAGGAGGAGGTGGGAGGGAGAGGAGAGTGTGACAGTAGGGTGAAAGCATTGTGAGGCAGCTTGACTACCAACAGCTCGCTGCTTTACACCATTGGCCAGTCGCAGCGGATTCTGTGGCAGAGCATGCAGGAAGATGACCTGCATCCTGGAGGAAGGGAGGATACAGAGAGAGGAGAGCAAGAGAAGGAGCCTGGAGGCAGTCAGTAGAGAGCAGGAGGCAGACAGTAGGGTGAGCGCCTTGGCCTCTTCCCACCAAACCACCCAACAACAGCTGCAGCAGCATCTGCAGCAGATTGGTTTTGGTTTTTTTTTCGCATTATTAAAAAAACCAACTTGCACGCAGGAGGGTAACCATGGGTGCTGGTTACCACCAGATCAGCATCTGCGTGACATCATGTGACTACAAACCAGCAGCAGCAAGAAGAGGATCGTTTCTACTCATTTTTTAGTCGACTCAAAAATCACCTCCAGTGTAGCATGCGGCTGGAGAGAGAGAACCTCCAGGAGGGACTTACCATGGTGCAGTGGTTACCAACATGTAACATCACGATAACCACCTTGTCGCAATGAGAAGAGGAAGAAGGGTGAGTGCAGGACGCCGTTGGAGCGAAGTGCGGCTGAGAGGGACCGGACACAGAAGCATCATGCCACACACAATCACTAGCTGGCACGCACACGCATACCTGAAGCAGGGGGGAAAGGAAGAATCCCGAGTGCAGGACACCGTTGGAGCGAGCTGCGGCTGAGAGGGCGATCAGGAGGGACACACATACTATGTGCAGTGGTAACCAGCATGTAACACCACGGCTAACTACACACCTGCAGCAGCGAGAAGAGGAAGAAGCCCGAATGCAGGACGCCGTTGGAGCGAGGTGCTGCTGAGAGGGCGATCAGGGAGGCATTCAAGACACGCAATAACAACACTCCTGTATCAGAAGGTTCACCAACACAGTTACCCACCTGCAGCAGGGAGAAGAGGAAGAAGCCCGAATGCAGGACGCCGTTGGAGCGAGGTGCTGCTGAGAGGGCGATCAGGGAGGCATTCAAGACACGCAATAACAACACTCCTGTATCAGAAGGTTCACCAACACAGTTACCCACCTGCAGCAGGGAGAAGAGGAAGAAGCCCGAGTGCAGGACGCCGTTGGAGCGAGCAGCTGCTGAGAGGGCGATCAGGAGGGATGCGGAGACCCATCGACCACTTATAATGCGCCACATGGCCGCAAACGACAGCAGGGCGAACAGGCTCTCAGAGTAGCTGTTGGGGAAAGGGGGGGGGGTGGGAAGGGGTGGGAAGGGGTGAGAGCGGAGGGGGGGGGGACTGGAGCTACTGAGGAAGGGAAAGAGGCCGCCTCATGGCTCCCACTTCTAAGGCGCCTAAAAAATAGAGTCCTCATGTTTGAGGCGCCTCAAAAATAGGGAAATAGGCCGCCTCATGGTTCCCCACTCATTTCACTGTACCATTTGATTGCCTAGTGGACCCACACCCTTGCTCACCCTCCCCTCCACACTCACTCACATGTGACGTGGCCGAGTGAACGGTGGAGGTGGGTGGGAGTGAGGCAGAAGAAGCGGGAGGGGAAGAGGTACGCACACACACAACCCCCCCCCCTCTCCCCCCACACACACCTCAGCCCATCCACACACACTCACTCACTCACATGGCAGAATAGCAGGTGGAGGCTGGAGTGAGGCAGAAGGAAAGGGGATAAGAGACACGTCCCCCCCCCCTTACACTCACTCATTCACATGGCAGAACAGAAGGTGGAGGCGGGGGTGAGGCAGGAGAAGAGGGCGGAGAGAAGACACACATGCACCCACACACACACGCACACTCACACACACACACACACACACACACTCACACACTCCCTCATTCACCCACTCACTCACATGGCAGAGTAGAAGGTGGAGGCTGGTGTGAGGCAGAAGAGGAGGGAGGAGAGGAGGGCCAGGGGTGTGTCAGCGAGTACACACGCAGTCAGCCTGCACGACAATGGGAGAGGAAGGAGACCAAACACTTGGGGGATGGAACCGGAAAAGTTCAAAGGAGCAGGAGAGGACGGCCAGGCGATCACTACTCGTTCACTCATTCATTTATCCCTCAAAAATCACCTGAAGAGACATCACCACTCGTTCACTCATCTCTCACTGAAAAATCACCTGAAGGGACATCACCACTCGTTCACTCATCTCTCACTCAAAAATCACCTGAAGGGACATCACCACTCGTTCACTCATCTCTCACTCAAAAATCACCTGAAGAGACAGTAAGCAGCAGCAACGAACGCAGCGTTAGACAGGAGTAGACCGACTAGGGCGAAGGTGGCTCGAGCACCGAGAACGGGGAGCAGCAGTCGGACTGCGGGGCGAGGGTCAGTGGGGGAGAGGGGGAGAGGGGGAGAGGGAAGAGCGAAAAGGGGGGGGGGTGGAAAGGGGGGGGGGGAGGGGGGGGGAGGAGGGGGGGGAAGTGAAAGCCGCGTTAGAGAGGAGAAGCCCAACGAGGGCGAAGGTGGCTCGAGCACCGAGAACGGGGAGCAACAGTCGGACTGAGGCAGAGGGTCAGTGGGGGAGAAGGACGAAAGGGAGAAATAGAGGGCTGTGAGAGTGACCAGTTGGCGCCAGCGAAAAACGCGGCATAGAGAGGAGCGCGAGTGGGAGGAGGAGGAGGTGTGGCTTGAGCACGAAGAATGGGGAGCAGCAGACGGGGGAGCAGCAGACGGGGGGAGCAGCAGACGGGGGGGAGCAGCAGACGGGGGAGCAGCAGACGGGGGAGCAGCAGACGGGGGAGCAGCAGACGGGGGAGCAGCAGACGGGGGAGCAGCAGACGGGGGGAGCAGCAGACGGGGGAGCAGCAGACGGGGGGAGCAGCAGACGGGGGGAGCAGCAGACGGGGGGAGCAGCAGACGGGGGGAGCAGCAGACGGGGGGAGCAGCAGACGGGGGGAGCAGCAGACGGGGGAGCAGCAGACGGGGGAGCAGCAGACGGGGGAGCAGCAGACGGGGGGAGCAGCAGACGGGGGGAGCAGCAGACGGGGGGAGCAGCAGACGGGGGAGCAGCAGACGGGGGGAGCAGCAGACGGGGGAGCAGCAGACGGGGGAGCAGCAGACGGGGGAGCAGCAGACGGGGGGAGCAGCAGACGGGGGAGCAGCAGACGGGGGAGCAGCAGACGGGGGGAGCAGCAGACGGGGGGAGCAGCAGACGGGGGAGCAGCAGACGGGGGGAGCAGCAGACGGGGGGAGCAGCAGACGGGGGAGCAGCAGACGGGGGGAGCAGCAGACGGGGGGAGCAGCAGACGAGGGGAGGCAGAGGCGAGCAGCCCTCATAAGGGCAAGAGGGGGGAGAAGGCGAGGAGGTAGAGAGACCTTCAGGTTGTCTCACAGCAGTGGCAGGCCTTACAAGAGGCGGCAGTCGCGAGCAGACTCATTAGCAAGGGCAGGAGGGGGAAGAAGGCGGCAGGTTGACTGGCACAGGGGACTACCTCAGACTGCTGGGGTACTGCTGGCCTTACAGGGAGTGGCAGTGGTGAGTAGCCTTATTAGCAAGGGCAGGAGGGGGAAGAAGGCGTAGGCTTGCTCAAACTCGTATCCACAGAGCGCGATGCGGTGGAAGAAGACCGAGTCCCACACCACCAGGCCCTCCAGTGCCCCCTGTATGGTGCTGTTGTGGCCTGTATAGGGGCGACAGGGGCATGGGGGATGGGGAGAACACATAGGCTGGTTGGAGATCCTATCCGCAAGCAATGTGGTGGAAGAGGACCGAGTCCCACACCACAACGCTCTCAAGGGCTCGCTGTACGGCGTTGTTCTGACCTGTATGGGGAGGCGGGGTGGGTAAGACGTGAGGATAGTGGATTCTGGGGTATATTTTTGAAGCGCCTCAAAAATAGACTCCTGAATAGGGGTGATGGGGGATGGGGGATGAGGCAAGACGCGAGGATAGTGAATTCTGGGATAGAATGTGGACGATAATCATGTACGTGGGGTAGCTTCTGACCAGCGAGGTTGGCAGTATTTGAGGGGATAGAGGGCGGAAGAGATGTCATTTACCTGGGTATTCTTCAATCAGTGAGGTTGACAGTAGGTCAGAGGGTAGAGTGCGCGCGACCCAGTCAGATACATTAGTGGCGACCCGAGAAACAAAGTCTTTAAGCTTCGTAGCGACATTCGCGGGAGATGATTCGTCGAAGGTTCCCGTTTTATTATCATTATTATCCTTCGACATTCCTAGGTATTTCAGCGTGAGGTCTACTGCGGACGAGTCTCCGGTTGACGCGTGGCGTGGACGACACGGCGAAAAGATGCGTGCTGACGTGTCGTAATCGTCTAAGATCGCGTCGAATGCGAAGAACAGGAGCAGCATTGCCACTCGCGACGCCGCGGCTGTTGCAAGCACAATGCGACCCGCTCGGCGACGATCGGCCGATCCGCTGGGTTTGCTCCGGCTATCGCTCGGCGGACTGGCCTTGGTCCGACTATCGCTCGGACCGGGCTTGGTTCGACCATGGTTGTCTCCGGGTTTGATGGGATCATGACTCGGACCTCCTGACCTTACATCCGGAATCTGAGAACTAAGTGAGGCATCGACGTCGGCGGTTGGAGCACTAAGCCTACGACGAGGCGCCATCGTTTCCTAAGGTGAATGCAGTGAAGTAATACAGTAACCTCGTCGCATTATTTCACTTGGGTATCATGTTGCATTCTGCCCGTAAAACACTCGCCTGCGTGTTAAGAGCCTCCTAACGCGCGAGGCTGCTAGATTGAAGGAGGCTGCGACACTACGGGCACGGCTCGTTTGGTGACTATGCTAGCCGGAGCTGTTGCTGCGTGAATGCACAAAAAACCATCAGGTGCGGACTGACTGATGTAGCTTCTTAGGCAACACACTGGTTCTGCAGGGGGTGCAGAGCAGCCGGCAAAAGCCTTAGGCCCTGCTGTTGAACAGATATTTCCTCCAAGATAAGAATTTGACAGGTCGCCGCGTTTCTCGTCGAAATGAGTGCAAATTTTAATCTGTACACTTCTGCTGTAAGAATTGATGAGTTGCTCAACCTATCCCACTTTCTCAATCCTACTTTCTCAACAACAAGGCAGATGGATTTGACGGGCTAGCATAGTACGAAGCATATATACAACACGCGAAACTGGCCTACTCTACTGTACAGCGTAAAGTATTCCTCCTAGTTCTCCAAAATTGACGCTAGATTAAGTCCCCATCCCTGCATGCCTCTCCAACGTGCATCCCCCCCACATGGTTTGTTCCGAACTCTCTTTTCTCCAACATCCTGACCTCCAGATCAGTGTTCTACAGCCTCATACCTGTGCTCCAACTGCTCTCCACTGTCGAAGTACCAAGCTAGAAGCACTTGCTTGAACCCACGATTCGTCAGTAAGAGGCTCCAGTCCAGTCTCATTAAGGAAAGGACGGGCCCCTTCGTGAATCTCATGGTCCGGCATCAGCGCAGCAATCTGCTCTTCAATCTCCGCGTTATTTTCCAGCACCTTCTGTGCACTACTCTCCCTCGCCTGCTCTGTCTCCCTCACCTCCCTCACCTCTCCCTCGCACCAGGCCTGATGGAAGGCCTCTGCCTCTCGATCTCCTGCACCAGCGCTGCAGGCGAATCTGCTCTTCGATCTCCGCGTTACTCCTCTCATCTCGAGCGTTCAGTCTACCCTCCCTCACCTCACCTCTCCCTCGCGCCAGGCCTGATTGACTGCCTGAGCCTCTCGTTCTCCGCCACCAGCGCAGCAATCTCCGCCTCAATCTCTGCGTTACTCCTCTCCACCGCTTCGCACCGCTGCTCCAGCTCCGCCACGTAGTGCTTCTTCCGCTCCCGCGCCTGCTGCGCGCTCACGCGGTTCCGCAGCAGCCGCTTCACGCGCCGCTCGTCCCGCTGCTGCTTCGCGGTGCGCTTGCCTCCCCGCGCCTGCTGCGCGGCCGCCAGAGCGGGAGCTACTATACCGGGGACTGCTTCCGGAATCGTGGGGATACTGCCAGGGATAGTTGCGGGAAATGCGGTAGACAGAGTGGCCGGAACGCTCTCGTCGTCTTCCACCTTAAGAGCAGGTGAAGCCAGAGGTTCGGCGGCGGTCGTAGCAGGGGCAGGGGTAATCTCGGCATCAGCGGTCACGGCAGCGACTACTGCTGGGGTTGTTACACCGCGGTGCTTCGCCAGCGGCGATTTCGTCACCGAAGATTTCGCCAAAGGACTCTTCGCAGCAGGCCTTCCGGTTCCGATTTCCCCAACGACGGGCGAGGCGCACGGCACGGGCGACGCAGCGGCCTTGGGAGACGATGGGATGACGGAGGGAGAGAAGGGCGGAGTGAGAGACGACGGAAGGAACGGCGAGGAGGGGGCAGGGCTGGCCGTTTCGGGAGCGTCAGGATGGATGTGGGTCCAGGGGAACATGGAGGACGCGGATTGGACAGGGTGGCCGAAGGCGGGTGCGGAAGACATGGCGGAAGGCATTGCGGAAGGTACATGCGAGGATGCGACTTGGTGTGGGGCATGATGTGCGGCGTGGTGGGCTGCGTGGCGTCGTCGCTTTCCGCGAGCTGAATCCGCCGACAAGCGACGCTGACGAGCGATAGCGGCCGGGTCGGCGATTGCGCCGGCTCCAGGCATAGCACTGCAGCGAGACAGCACGGGGTAAACAAGGGTTAATTTCCATAATTTCCATCCCTGGGTTGTTTGTATTTTTTCTTTATGCGTCATTACGAAAAGTGTTACGATGGGAGACGCAGGGTTACACAATCTGACAAAACCGCGACGAAAACTTACTGTTGAGGAGGCATGAAAGGCAGCGCGTAGGGGGTCATCCAGGGGTTGTACGCGAAAGGCGGGTACGTCATGCCGTAGTAGGGCGGCGGCATGGTAGGCATGCCTGGGTAGTAGAGCGGCATGTGCTGCGGATACATCGGATGGCTCATCGGATGTAGCGCGGGGTACTCCATCTTGGGATGCGTCGAAACATCATCCGCGGTTGAATGCTCTGCGTTAAAAGAAAGAAAAACGAAAGAGGAAGTATCAGCGACAGATGTTCCAGACGAGAAGAGTTCACGAATTACACATGCTTGATAGAAATTTCTGACTGGAAATTGGGAAACGATAGGTCAATCGAGTCTATCAGGCTTCGAGTGCGTACCTGCGAGGCCCGCTCCTCTGAGCATGAGATTATAGCGAAGGTCCTGCTGGTTCAGCGCATCCACGTCATCATGATGATCATCCATTGCACCGAACGACAGTTTCAGCTCATCCGACGCGAATCCATCCGGCGAGCTGAAGGCGTCAGGCGAACCGGCGAAGGCTCCATCCGCGACTGAGTCAGCCGCGTCGGGATTCATCGCCGTCGCCGGTAGAGAGGCCAGCTGAGAAGCCGGTTTCGGAGCGCAGGGGACCAGCTGGGGCTGGCAGGAGCCGTCTTGAAACGAAACAGGGTCCGAACCAAATGGGTTCGAGTGGAACATGCCGAAATGGCCATGGCTGCCTCCCTCGCCGACGGACTCTTCAGGGACGTCGTCCGGAAGAATCCTATCGACGTTTGGAAGCACTCTGTCGTCATTTTCGGGATTTTCTCCCATGTATGTCATCAGTTGATCGACGCCTCGATCGAATAGGTCCCCGGGTTGGCCGAAGGAGAACATTGTATCGTCTGCTGCGTCGAATGCGTCTGCGTAAGGCCGCTTGGAGCCGGGCTTCTGGTTCAAGTCGGTGAACAGGCCTAAGTTAGGAGTGATCGAAACCTCGCCTGGAATCATCTCTGAAGTCGAGCAGGTGATGGCGGAAAAGGTTGGATGATGATAGAATGTCGAAGTCGGGGGATTTGTAGAAAGCAGGAAGGAATCCCGCGAGACGGGGAGCTAGCAATTTCTATCGCAACCTGGGGTGGTGGTGAGCTGGAGAGCGGAAACAAAACCTGAAATTTCTGTTCGATACCATTAATGCTGGAAGTGTCCCGCGAAAATACTTCTACAAAGTTGGGTGAAGGGAAGGGAGGCGAAGGGGAAATATAGGCACGAGAGGGAGAGGGAGAGAGAAACGGCGGTTGGACCGTTTCGAATGGTCGGGAGATACGCCAGTTGTAAGCATTCCGCCTCCCCTCCGCACCGCAGAATGCAAAGCAATTCAATGGAGTGTTGGGGGGGGGGGGGGGGGGGTGGGGGGGTGGGGGGGAATTGGCTTGGCTGCTGAATTTGCGGCCAAATGCACCACTGAGGCGAAAATGAGGAGGCTGCTCAATTCTGCTGTACACGCCCGCTTTGAACAGTTCAGTAAATATATTTGTGCAGTGAAAAAGGTAAGGATTACCCAGGGTTGGGAGGGGGATGGAGAGTTTTGGAAAGGTTAGAAAGGGTGCAGAGGGAAGGAGGGGACCCTGGGGCGGTGACTGGGATCCTCGGGGGGAGTGTGTGTGGGGGAGGGAGGGAGGTTGGAAGCAGCGAATCCATAGAGGGGTCAGCCTCGGCTCGAGGTTCGGGCTTGGGGACGGGCTCGTCCTCAGTAGGTGGGTAGGAGGTTTCATGACTTGGTCTGGGAGGAGTGCAGGAGGTTCGGAATTGAGCTCGCGGCCGGATTTTTTGGCTTCGCCAAATGTGTGACTGGCTGGCGATTGGTGGCTTGACGTCAGCATTGTTTGGCCGCGCCCAGCAAACCTAGACTGCGGTCGGGGAAGGGGTTTGGCGGGGTCCCCTGGGGGACTTGGGGGCGGGGCGGGGTGGCGGCTTTGGCGTGCACAAGGTCGCTGGAAGGTTCTTTCGCAGCTTGCGCCAGCCTGTGACAAGGGCAATGAATTCTGGCCACGAATTCTCGCGAGGTGACGACGAGGTCCTCGCGCTTACGTATGGTTCGCACCTTCGACGAAAAGGCTCATCATCACCACACCACCATCACCTCACTCACACCTCACCTCAACTCTCCTCAATCTCTGGGAAACCAACCATCCATCCATAAAATCTTCTGAGTCCTTTTCTGCCAAGAGGCGTTGGCCAATCGTCGTCAACGGCTTCCGTGGTGTGCCCACGTTCTCATTGGCCAAGCAATTCATATATTGGATCTAGAAACTTGAAGCCACCTGCTGCTGAGCTGGAAAATGTCAATGCCAGAAACAAAATCTTCCAGTGAGTGCACCTTGTTCCGTCGGATTGGGGATGAGTGAATCCGACCAGATTCTGCAGGCAGGCGGAAATCTCCCACAGCCCCGAAACGCCGCGGATTGTCGGCAGCACAGTTAAAGCCTGCAGCCCAAATTGCATGCACAGGGTGTCAAACGCACTGCGTTTGAAAGGGGCAGTTGGAGGGGTTACTAGAACTGAAGTGTGTTGGCTGCGTTCTGATGGCAAAAATGGAAAGTGCATATTACATCACGGCACCTTCCGAAAGCGAGATATTTTGCTTCGGATCGAGGGTCAGCCCGCAAATTTTTGCCCAAACCTGGCACAACGTACCCGAACCTAGTTACGTCGACATGCCTGCAGAACATGTCCATCTACAGATGAGATCTACGTCAGGGAAACACCCCCATCGCTTCCCTCCCTGGCAAATATGGCGCAAACTTGACGCAATGCTGACATTCGCTCAATTGTGGAGGCCACCTTGCGTGTGGCGTTACATCAGCCGCAAGGGTGTACTAGGCCTCCACACCCCAAAAATACAACCGCCACCGCTTTACCACACCTCGCGAGCTTGGGTCTGCCCTGCAAAAAAACAGCAGCTGAACAAACCCATCGCCAAAGAGTCATATCACCTCCAACAACACCACACTTTCGACCTACTCCGTGGGGTTGTGAGGGCATCTCACCAAACCCTAGATTCTTTTTTCGTCATTTTGCCCCGAATAATGTCTCAGCTGCCATGGGGCAGCAGGTTTTTGTTGCGCAATTTTGAAATCCGCGTCTCTCTCTTTCCGCTTGCGCTCTCCACAATTTGGTCGCGTGGCTTCCGAGCGAGGTTTGGAAATTGCACCAAGTTTGGGTGGTAACTAATGCTCTCGAAGTCGATTGAGGAGCTTCCTCAATGTCGACGTCGACGTCAATGTCAAATGCCTGCAGAACTCAGCCGGTGTTTGTGGCATGTGCAAGTCCCTCGGCAAACACTGAAGTTGAAACAACCTGCATTTTGGGACTCGGCAAACACCAAGAATTCTCTGATTTCGACGGCCGAGATTTGTCGATCTCGGATATACAGCTCGGTACTAATTGTAGGTCGTCGATTTGAAAGCTTTCAACTGTTTGGGTTTGGGCCGTCGGATCAGTCTTACGCTAATCGGATGGCCCAAAATTCAAGGAATTTTACCAAACCTGTTTCAGCGGACAGAACGCGATTGATTCATCGAGCAAAACAAATGCTTCTGCGATTGGCTACCAGCAACCACCACAGCGAAATTTCATGCTTTTGCGACATTTTCTCTAAGCTCGCTAAAACCACTACTCACGTTCATAAGCACTGCGTATGAACAATTTGGGCAGCGGGCCTTAAAGCCCGACCGGCAGGTTGCAACTATTTTTTTCTCAAGGTCATCTTGAGGACCCGTAACCTACTCTACCCGCAGCAGTGGTTGACGATATTTCAACGTCTCAACTCTGTGCTTTGACAAACTTGGCAGGCTTGCGTCCCTTCCAAGTATCGAGGTCAGAAAACACAGAGTTTTCTCGAAACTTAATCACCCGTCTTGTGTTTGAATTTCGGGCGGTTTTACTACGTGTGATTGATTGCGCACGAACTTGACGGGGGGGAGGAATTCGAGTTCGATTGTTTCTTCAATCTGACCTAACAAAAGAAATGTGTGGGTTGTTTGCACAAAAAACGCAGGCAGGAAAACGCCGTTGCAACATGGCAGAGTGGCCAAGGTGAACCCCCTGCCAGTCGACTGGGCTCGAACCTGACACCTCTGCAAGGTTTCGTAGCCCCTAGGGCTCCCGCGACATTGACTAAATGGACGAAGGCAAAAATCGCAGAAACAATTTCGCCCCCTTCTTATCTCGTCAGCCAATCACTTTCTGCTGGCCCACCTACCTCAACAGTGCCAAAGTGCAACCTGCCGGTCGGGCTTTAAAGAATTCCAATGCATGCTCGATTGCATCCCGTTCGATACACACCGAAATCTCAGTTGCGTGTAGCACCATGTGTCTTCTCTAAATGTAGTTAATGTGCTCTACCCAATTCATTGATTCCACCTAGTGGTGTTGTGATAAATTCATACTTAAGCATTTCTGTAAATAGTTCTGATAGCGATTATCGAGTTACCCTATAGTTAGCATCCGTAGAATGGCGCCAGCAAATAGCGCTCGTCTGGATTACGTCAGTATGTCGTTTCAGTCACGCGAACAGTCGCGCTTCTTTCAGTAGCGATTAGAGCACATAGCGCAAATAACTTTGAACATGTACATTACCGAACATCTAGCAGATACAAAAGTAGCTTGTCTCTCTTCCATTATTAACTTGTTCTTTAATAAATTTCCGACACCACTCACAAGTTCTAAGTCTTCCGCTGTCTTACTAGTCTACCATTCCAGCAAAAATCCTTGTTCAAGTCTTGAAGTATCACAAGGTTGTAACACTGATTCTTTGCTACAACTTGTTAATACTGACTGGTACTGGAAGTACATTCAGTATTACTTTCTACTTCAAGTACGTGTGTCTGCATATTCTATACTTAAAGCGTGTTCCTACGGACCTCTTCCCAGGTATCCTCCTTCCACAATCGGCCCTCGACTGAGAGCGTGTTCGAATGTCCGTTTTTTCCAGCTAAATTGTTCTAGAATCGCGTTCTTCACCGCAATGAATTAGCCCGCGTAAAAAATCGCACTTCACTGTTTCGCGTATGTCTGACAATTTCGGGCCTGAAACGAGATTGGAAAACATGCCTTGAATCTCAATAACCCCAATCCCGTGTCACACCAATCCGGAACCGCACTAAACTGTTTCGCGTCAAAATTACGCGACACTGTAGCGCGCGAGTCTGGGAAGAGGCTGGTTGGGAAGAGGCACCGTTTTACAAATTATTACATGGTATGAGAATTATCTGAAATTAAGACTATCATGAACTCTACAAATGACTGGACCAGCATCATCACCAACAACTGGTTCCTCAACAACTGGACCCACTGGGGTTACAAATACTACAGTTTTTACATGACAAGCAAGCCATTCTGCAGCTGGAAAATCTCTAGCCGCTTATGCTTCGATTGGGATGCTTTAAGAGTAGCAATGAGTGCCTGCTGTGCATCCACCAGGGATTTCGTCCTCTGCACCTGCAACACCCCAACAAGGTTGATCGCAACAAGCAGCAGCGTTAGTAATAGCGGCTTTTAGTGGCATGAGTCTTGATGGCTCCAGTTATGCAAGAGTTGCACCTGCTCCAAGCTCGAGTTCTTCGTTTGCGTTTACACCTACACAACTACAGGAGTTCCAATTTTTACAACAACAACAAGAAGTGCAACAACAGTTTCAGCAACAACAGCAAAAGCAGTTTCCGAAGAGTATACCAGCAACACCTTCACTGAGTATACCAGTAACACCTTCACTGAGTACCTTCATATCCTATGCATCAAACGCCGAGGGTCTCTGCCACATCATCCAACAGATGGGGGTAGCGGAGCGGATGAACAGAACCTTACAGGAGAAAATGCGAGTTTTGCTAACTCAAGCTGCACTTCCACAACACTTTTGGACATACGCCTTAGACCATGCAGTTCTTCTGCACAACCAGCTGTCCACAACGTCTCTTCCACAATTTTCTTCGCCACATGTGCAGTGGACACAAACAGTTGGCAACACAAACCTTCTAAGAGTTTTCAGCTGTATCGTCCAATACTGGCCTCCGACTGCAGCACTCGGGAAATTTTCTGGACGGGCTAAGTGGGGTATTCATCTTGGCATTGAGAAGCAATTTTACGCATGGAAAATTATGGATCTTCGCACGAGTCAAATCGTACCAGCACGCGATTGTCTTTTCTACGAACGACTCACCTTACCTATTTTTCGTGCTCACCAGGCAGGCAGCAACTGCCAACCCTGCCACGCTGTTCGAAGGCTGGCGTGCTTTCGCTATCGGCGAAGCCGAAGAAGACAAACATGACGAAGCAGTTGCCGAGGCTTCCGACGCAGCCACAGACATCCCCGTACCAACCACGTCAACTCGAACTGCTGGATTTATCCTACTCAGCGGAGCCGACTCTGAAGATGCCAGGGACGTTCTTCTTGCATCGCAAAAATCCTGTTTCATTATGTCTACCTTTTTCATACTGTGTACATACCTGCTAGTATGTAGACAGTAGGGGTTATTGAGGCTACTATAACGTAGAAGTTGTCGTACGTTTTTAGTAGGCAACAGAACCATACCATAAAGTAATGCACATATACCTACTATTTGCGGTATAATTGTATGTGCTCCCGTATATTTATGCATCCCGTATATCATACTATTGCCTCCAACCAGGTATTACATTTGCATAGTTAACTCTATGCAAAGTCTTGGATCCTTAGTACAAAAACAGTGGCTATTTCTTGTTCTTGGTATTTTCCGTTGTAGCTACTGTTGGTCATATATTTTCTGCACAGAATATGTAAGTACAGAATCGTCCAATTGTACCCAATTAGTCACACATCAATACAGTCACATTGGTTCACAGCTCATTACTACCCCACTACACCACACAGCATGGCTGCTACTGCTTCTGCTGCACTAAGCCTGCTGCTGAAACCGACACTGCACTGCTGCTGGTGCTGCTGAAACTACAGCTGGTGCTGCTGACACTCCTGAGACTGGTGCTGCTGCTACTGGCACTGCTGCTGCTGCTGCTGCTGCTGCTGACACTGCTGCTGCTGCTGCTGCTGCTGCTGCTGACACTGCTGCTGTTGCTGAAACTGCTGCTGCTGCTGACACTGCTGCTACTGCTGACACTGCTGCTGCTCATCCATCCTTCAGCATCCCTGCCCATCCACACCAGTCATCTCCCCCTCCCCCCTCATGCCCCCATGCCCTCATGCCCATTACATGCTATCCTCTGCCTCCACCCACTCGCCCACATCGTCGAGAACTTCATGCTCCAAGGTGGTGGTGCCCTGGCTGGTCTTCCTCTTCTTGCCCTTCTGCGGCTCCATCTGGGCAATCTCGAACAGGCTCATGACTGCTGCCTTCTCCACACCATCAGGGTCAGCACCTTCGGGGACCAGGTCCAGGAACCCGCTGCCCGAGATGATGACCGTCCCCGTGGGCTCTAAAACCCAGCCCTGGTGCTTCTCGTCCCAGGCGGGGAGCTGGTCGTCAGGAGACTCCTCAAGAGTCTTGCGAATAGCCGCCTTCACCTTGCGGTGGTAGGTGGCGATGTCATCAGCGTTGACACAGGCATCTGTGGGGATACGCTTCCCCCGGGCCTTGTGGTGCACGACAGCATACTCGACCTGACAGCAGGATGGAAGGGAGCGGAGGGGCGAGGGGACGGGATAGGGTGAAAGAAAAGGGGAGGGGGGTGGGAAGCCAGTAAAAATGGAGCAAGGTCAGGCCACTTATTCAAGCCAAGAACGGCAATGTGCCTTGAATAAGCATCACAGAAGGACTGCCAGGCAAAGAGAAACTACTAATAGAGGCAGTACTGCAGAGCAATTCGAACAGGCACGTACCAGGTAGAGAATGTAGGCAATGTGGTACGCCTTCACCACCGTGGCCGACCCACCCGCACCCTTCTGGAAGGCGTTGCGGACAATGAGGTCGAACAAGGCGGTGGCGAAAGGGCGGAGGATCTCCTCCGCAATGTGCCAGCGGAGGAGACCTCCCTTCTCTGCTCAGGAAAGCACACAGAGAGAGGAGGTACGCATGCCTGACAGGCCAGTGAGACATCATGCAAACACACACAAATGGCTGCCATGGCATTGAAACAAGTGCAATGAAATAGCATCGTACATCGCACAAGAACTATTGCTTCGGGGAGGGGGAGTGGCAAAGGGGGGGGGGAAATGAGGAACAGGGCACCAAGGCACGCTCTGGCAGGGCAGGGGGAGCGGCAGAGGGGAGGGGGACATGAGGAACAGGGCACCAAGGCACGCTCTGGCAGGGGAGGGGGAGCGGCAGAGGGGAGGGGGAGATGAGGAACAGGGCACCAAGGCACGCTCTGGCAGGGCAGGGTGAGCGGCAGAGTGGAGGGGGAGATGAGGAACAGGGCACCAAGGCACGCTCTGGCAGGGGAGGGGGAGCGGCAGAGGGGAGGGGGAGATGAGGAACAGGGCACCAAGGCACGCTCTAGCAGGGGAGGGGGAGCGGCAGAGGGGAGGGGGAGATGAGGAACAGGGCACCAAGGCACGCTCTGGCAGGGCAGGGGGAGCGGCAGAGGGGAGGGGGAGATGAGGAACAGGGCACCAAGGCACGCTCTGGCAGGGGAGGGGGAGCGGCAGAGGGGAGGGGAGATGAGGAACAGGGCACCAAGGCACGCTCTGGCAAGGCAGGGGGAGCGGCAGAGGGGAGGGGGAGATGAGGAACAGGGCACCAAGGCACGCTCTGGCAGGGCAGGGGGAGCGGCAGAGGGGAGGGGGAGATGAGGAACAGGGCACCAAGGCACGCTCTGGCAAGGCAGGGGTAGCAGCAGAGGGGAGGGGGAGATGAGGAACAGGGCACCAAGGCACGCTCTGGCAGGGGAGGGGGAGCGGCAGAGGGGAGGGGGAGATGAGGAACAGGGCACCAAGGCACGCTCTGGCAGGGCAGGGGGAGCGGCAGAGGGGAGGGGGAGATGAGGAACAGGGCACCAAGGCACGCTCTGGCAGGGCAGGGGGAGCGGCAGAGGGGAGGGGGAGATGAGGAACAGGGCACCAAGGCACGCTCTGGCAGGGCAGGAGGAGCGGCAGAGGGGAGGGGGAGATGAGGAACAGGGCACCAAGGCACGCTCTGGCAGGGCAGGGGGAGCGGCAGAGGGGAGGGGGAGATGAGGAACAGGGCACCAAGGCACGCTCTGGCAGGGCAGGGGGAGCGGCAGAGGGCAGGGGGAGATGAGGAACAGGGCACCAAGGCAGGCTCTGGCAGGGGAGGGGGAGCGGCAGAGGGGAGGGGGAGATGAGGAACAGGGCACCAAGGCACGCTCTGGCAGGGCAGGGGGAGCGGCAGAGGGGAGGGGGAGATGAGGAACAGGGCACCAAGGCACGCTCTGGCAGGGCAGGGGGAGCGGCAGAGGGGAGGGGGAGATGAGGAACAGGGCACCAAGGCACGCTCTGGCAGGGGAGGGGGCAAGCAATTCAGACAATGGAATGCGCCAGGCAGTGGACTTACCAAGTGGCTTGACACCATCCATGTGGTACACCTGGGTGGGGGTGTGCTCCTCGTCGCACACCAACTCGCTGTAGTCGAATTTGAGGCGCGGGTTCGCCTCACACGCCAGCCCAAATGCATCAGCGAAAACCCGGCGCCCGAACATGGAGAGCCGCGCTCGCCAATCGTTGGGCTTCCGCTTCGCAGAACCCGCACGCGCTGGGCAGTACATCATCACTGCCCCCAGCGCTGGACCCTTCGCCTCACCCCACACTCCAATCAGGCACTGCATCATCAAGCTCTCCGACGGGTAGATGCTTGACTGGTCGTCAGGCTGGCGGAACATGGCGACAACCACAGCGAGCTCCATTTTTTTCTGGTGGCAGATACATATACAGTACAAAGGCGGATGAAGGAGGTGAAGAAAGTAGAAAAAGGAAACTGGTGAATCTCAGGGCAACCGAAGAGAGGGGGTGCTGGGGGTGAGGGGATTGGTGGGCGAACAAAGTTGAATAACCGCAACCATGCCTCATGATCCCCATCCCCATAGTCCCCTCCCCCAAACATTCTCACACTCAATTCCCACTCATTTCCCACACTCCCCTCCCCCAAACAATAGCACTTACGTTCCATGCCTTCCCATAGGCTGGCAGCTGCCGCATGAGAATCTGGTCCCTGAGAGGAATACCGCTCAAGGAGGTGTGGAGAACCACATCGCAGACCTGGCCGTTGTCAGCGACGGTCGGGTAGCTGCGCTTGCGCGACGCACCGAGGGCGTTTTCACGTGCAGCACGCAGATCGGTGGCCAGGGATTGCGGGAGTCCTCTTTCGCCCGACCGAACAGCCGTGCGCTGGGATGTAGGCACAGAACGCGGCGCGCCACTGGCGATCGGAGAACCCACAGCATGTCCACTTGCAGCCTCATCCTGCGTGGAGCCTCTCGCGGCGTTGACCTGGCACAGAAGGGACGGGATCAGCTCCGTCTGCTCACGCGCAGTTCGCTCCAGATCGGCGAGGCGACCATTGGCTGTCTGCGCCACAGCGTTGCCCGTTGCTGCCGCACGGACTCCCTCCAGCGGACTCTGAGCGGGGCTTGGTGTCGATAGCGCTGCCTCAGAGCGCGCGGCGATGCTGTCCATCGTGTCCCGGCGAGCCTCGCCTGCATGCATGACCACAGAAAAGGGATTAAGTAGTTGGCAGAAACAATGCTCTGCTGAAAGCGATATATGCATATGAATGCGGAAACCAACAGACCTAGGGTTAAACAGAATGTGACCAAACGCAGCTCGTACAATTGTGAACTTACCCGACGGTTTGATGGGGCGAGCACCTTCCTCCTGCCTCGGAGCCCACTGTTCCTCCTCCTCCTCATCACTAAAGTCGTCCGCATTCAATTGGACGCCCATGGGTGCAGCATCGCCGACCTCGCCACTAGGTTCAGCAACAGCAGTCGGAGCAAGGCCGACCACATCCGTTCCGGTCTTAAGAGCAGGCTGATCGTCGCCAACCGCGATGGTTTCCGGGGAGTCCACACCTCGCGTATTGCTGCCACCGACCGCCTGCAATGCACGGCCGCCAGCGATGCCACCACGCCGCACATTGCCGCCACGCAGACGACTGCCAAGGCCTCCCGCGCCAAAGAATGGCAAGCTGGACGAGTGAGTGCAGGCCTATCTCTCCGCCATGCCAGATTGCTCTCGCAGAAACCTCACCTTTCCCATGTTCTGTCTTGATTCTGTTGACTGAACCCTTCCTCCCCTTCCAACACTAATGCTGCAAAACACGACGTCCATCTGAATGCCGTCAAGTCATTCTTGCATTGGTACAAGGCCACATTCCGCCCCCGCTACCACACCGACAAAAGCCTGGCAAACGATGACCGATTGGCACACATGTGAGACTGCATGGCCTGTCCCGACCATATCCATTTAGTTCCTCCCCATATCCCATTTTTTCCGCCCATATCCTCTCATTTCCTGCCCCTATCCTTTCTCTTCTGGCCTTATCCTCTCAGTTCCTTCCCATGTCCTCTCTATTCCGCCCATATCTGGTCAGTTCCTGCCCATATCCTCACTTTTCCGCCCATATCCACTTAGTTCCTGCCCCTATCCTATCCTTTCCACCCATATCCACTTAGTTCCTGCCCCTATCCTATCTTTTCCGCCCATATCCACTTAGTTCCTGCCCCTATCCTCTCTTTTCCGCCCATATCCACTTAGTTCCTGCCCCTATCCTATCTTTTCCGCCCATATCCACTTAGTTCCTGCCCCTATCCTATCTTTTCCGCCCATATCCACTTAGTTCCTGCCCCTATCCTCTCTTTTCCGCCCATATCCACTTAGTTCCTGCCCCTATCCTATCTTTTCCGCCCATATCCACTTAGTTCCTGCCCCTATCCTCTCTTTTCCGCCCATATCCTCTCAGTTCCTGCCCATATCCTCTCTTTTCCGCCCATATCCACTTAGTTCCTGCCCCTATCCTATATTTTCCGCCCAAATCCACTTAGTTCCTGCCCTTATCCTCTCTTTTCCGCCCATATCCACTTAGTTCCTGCCCCTATCCTATCTTTTCCACCCATATCCACTTAGTTCCTGCCCTTATCCTCTCTTTTCCGCCCATATCCACTTAGTTCCTGCCCCTATCCTCTCTTTTCCGCCCATATCCACTTAGTTCCTGCCCTTATCCTCTCTTTTCCGCCCATATCCACTTAGTTCCTGCCCCTATCCTATCCTTTCCGCCCATATCCACTTAGTTCCTGCCCCTATCGTATCTTTTCCGCCCATATCCACTTAGTTCCTGCCCCTATCCTCACTTTTCCGCCCATATCCACTTAGTTCCTGCCCCTATCCTCTCTTTTCCGCCCATATCCACTTAGTTCCTGCCCCTATCCTATCTTTTCCGCCCATATCCACTTAGTTCCTGCCCCTATCCTCACTTTTCCGCCCATATCCACTTAGTTCCTGCCCCTATCCTCTCTTTTCCGCCCATATCCACTTAGTTCCTGCCCCTATCCTATCTTTTCCGCCCATATCCACTTAGTTCCTGCCCCTATCCTCTCTTTTCCGCCCATATCCTCTCAGTTCCTGCCCATATCCTCTCTTTTCCGCCCATATCCACTTAGTTCCTGCCCCTATCCTATCTTTTCCGCCCATATCCACTTAGTTCCTGCCCCTATCCTCTCTTTTCCGCCCATATCCTCTCAGTTCCTGCCCATATCCTCTCTTTTCCGCCCATATCCACTTAGTTCCTGCCCCTATCCTATCTTTTCCGCCCATATCCACTTAGTTCCTGCCCCTATCCTCTCTTTTCCGCCCATATCCTCTCAGTTCCTGCCCATATCCTCTCTTTTCCGCCCATATCCACTTAGTTCCTGCCCCTATCCTATCTTTTCCGCCCATATCCACTTAGTTCCTGCCCCTATCCTCTCTTTTCCGCCCATATCCTCTCAGTTCCTGCCCATATCCTCTCTTTTCCGCCCATATCCACTTAGTTCCTGCCCCTATCCTATCTTTTCCGCCCATATCCACTTAGTTCCTGCCCCTATCCTCTCTTTTCCGCCCATATCCTCTCAGTTCCTGCCCATATCCTCTCTTTTCCGCCCATATCCACTTAGTTCCTGCCCCTATCCTATCTTTTCCGCCCATATCCACTTAGTTCCTGCCCCTATCCTCTCTTTTCCGCCCATATCCTCTCAGTTCCTGCCCATATCCTCTCTTTTCCGCCCATATCCACTTAGTTCCTGCCCCTATCCTATCTTTTCCGCCCATATCCACTTAGTTCCTGCCCCTATCCTCTCTTTTCCGCCCATATCCTCTCAGTTCCTGCCCATATCCTCTCTTTTCCGCCCATATCCACTTAGTTCCTGCCCCTATCCTATCTTTTCCGCCCATATCCACTTAGTTCCTGCCCCTATCCTCTCTTTTCCGCCCATATCCTCTCAGTTCCTGCCCATATCCTCTCTTTTCCGCCCATATCCACTTAGTTCCTGCCCCTATCCTATCTTTTCCGCCCATATCCACTTAGTTCCTGCCCCTATCCTCTCTTTTCCGCCCATATCCTCTCAGTTCCTGCCCATATCCTCTCTTTTCCGCCCATATCCACTTAGTTCCTGCCCCTATCCTATCTTTTCCGCCCATATCCACTTAGTTCCTGCCCCTATCCTCTCTTTTCCGCCCATATCCTCTCAGTTCCTGCCCATATCCTCTCTTTTCCGCCCATATCCACTTAGTTCCTGCCCCTATACTCTCAGTTCCTTCCCATATCCTGTCGTTTTGGCCCATATCCACCTAGTTCCTGCTCATATCCTATTTTTTCCGCCCCTATCCTCTCTTTTCCACTCATATCCACTCAGTTCCTGCCCTTATCCTAATTTTTCAGTCCATACCCTCTATTTTCCGCCCATATCCACTTAGTTCCTGCCCATATCCTCTGTTTCCTCCCATAACCTCAGTTTTCGCCTATTTCCTCTTTGTCCCGGCCATGTCCTCTCAGTTGCCGCCCATATCCTCTATGCAAGGCACTTCGCCTTAATCGTTTGGGTGTGTTCTTTCTGGCTGAGTTGGTGACAGCTTCTCAAACCCATTACCCAACCCCCCCAATCACAATCTTCCCACCCCCCCTTCTCTCCCCCTGCAGGATGTTCGTCAAGTTGAAGGCAACTTTCCCGAGCCAGGCCTATGTCCAGTACTATGAGCAGGTTAGGGATGACGGCGTGACAGGTTGTAAGGCGCTCAAGTGGGCAACATTCCCCGGGACTCGGAGGTTGCACCGGGACATTGTTGATGTGGACACCATCTATCGTGCCGTCCATGTTGTAGAGTCCTTTGAGAGGCGTGGCATGTTTCTGCTGAATGATTTTTTCTTTGATTGATTCTTACTAAATGTGCAACCTTGTTCTCCTTAAGCAAAGTATAATCCGATGAAGTGATTAGGATAAAGACTGTCAAGTTTTCAGAAATTGTGCTCTAAGAAGCATAGCCCTTGAACTATATGAAAGAACCACAAATATTAATTTTCAAGTATAGACAAACATATTTGAATTACAGTGTATACAATTCGATAAGTTGAAATCTACGATTTGCGCAGGCGATCTCGCCTACTGTTCGCGTGACGAAGAAATCGCTACCGAAACTGGGTCCCTGATTTTTGCGATGTGATTACGAGCGTGATCGCCAGCAGCAGCCCATGCCCATTGTCTCTGAACCAGCCATCGATGTGACACCTGGCGAAATTGGGGGGGGAAAGGGGTTAGAAAACAATTTCTATGGTGTCAACTCCAATCGTCCTCGTTTTACATAAATTGCGTTTCAAGTATTGGGACTCGCAGTCGCAGTACATGCTTTGACTAGTCCACACGGGGAAAAAGGGTGAGAAGCCATGGACCGAGAGTTAGCGGCTCTGGAAAAGCGAGGTACCTGGGATTTGATCCCATTGAAAGAAGTCAAGGGGAGTAAGGTACTTACCCGCAAATGGGTTTTTCGTGTGAATACGAACGCTGACGGTTCCTTTGAAAAATTCGCCGCGATGGGTTGTCCTCAGATTCGAGCAGACTTTTGGACTCGACTACGAGCTAACTTTTGCTCCCGTCGGTAGACACACTAGTGTCCACATCCTACTCTGTGTCGCAGCCTGCCGGAATTTCAGACTTCGCCAAATCGACATTGCCAATGCATTTCTATATCCACCCGTTGATGTATTAATTTTGGTTGAGTACCCCCATTCTTACGAAACTAACCCTCCAAGCGTCTGCCGTCTCAGAAAATCCCTCTACGACATCAAACGGGCTCCACGCCTGTAGCAGCAGTATCTACACGCTCAATTAATAACTGCCGGATTTCGCCAACTGCACGACTAAGGAATGTATTTACCTACCGACGGTCTTGACTACATTTTACTCGTCGCTTATGACGACGACTTACTCTACGCTAGCACCACCGATTCCCACGCTACTGCCTTCGAACAAAAACTTCAACAACACCTACAAATGACCATTACACCTACTGTCACACAGTTTCTCGGCCTAAACATTTACCGCACACCAACTGCTATTCATCTTACTACTTCAAAGTAAGCCGCAACACTAGCCGCACTGTTTCACCTCACACCTTCAACAGTCACCAGTGTCAAACATACATAAATGTTGTTACTATAGGCTAGATAGGTGCGTACCCATAGAGGGTAAAACACCTTAGCTTAAATTCCTTGAAACCCATCTTTCTAGTCGACTTGCTAACTCTGAGATGGTATCATGCGCTAGGTTAGTATCATCCTCCCCCCCCACCTGCGCTTCTGCCCTCTTCCCTCCCCTGACCGCCCGCCTGCGCCTCCCCCACCTGTCTACGATCCTGTGTTTTCTCCGCCGGACTTGTCTCCAGCTCGTTTTCCCCCGCGTTCTCCTCCTGTGTCTCCTCTTGTGTCCCCTGACCCCACAACTCCGTCCCACTTCTGGTCTCGTCTTCCCTCTCGTGCTCGTCTTGTCTCTCCTGTCCAACGCTCTCACCCTATTTTGCTTCGTTCCCACGTGTCTCGTCCTCCCCTCCTCCCGTCTCCTCCTCCGTCGTCCTTGCCTGTCGCTCCGCCTCCCTTGTCTGAATTCCTCCGTGCCGCTAGTCCTCTTGTTCCTCGGGTCCTCGCCTCTCTTGTTACCGACCCCTCTATTCCTCTCTCTAGTCTTGACGCTCTTATTGCTGCTGTTACCAACGTTGCCACTACCCGCCGCCTTGACTACGCCACAGCTCTAGTCTCTGACCCTGCTCGTCCTCCGTCCGTCGGGGGTGCACCTGCTCTTGCCAGTGACGTCCTAGAGGACAGGCAGTTTGAGTTAGCATTCCTGTCTGAGGCCTCGCCTCATCTCTACTCCATGCTGCTAGTCCCTGAGGGGGACCAAAACGTCAAGGCGCGCTACGTTGCTAGAGGCTTCAATCAGCGCGAGGGTGTTGACTTCTTTCAGACCTTCGCCCCGACCCCGAAGATGACTACTCTTCGCATGCTCCTACACGTATTAGTACACCGTGACTACGAGCTGCACTCTCTCGACTTCTCGACAATGTTTCTTCAGGGCAGTCTGCACAAGTAGGTCTACCTGCGTCGCCCTCCAGGCTTCACCGGCACCTTCCCCCGGGGACCCAGTGGCTCCTCCGGCAGCCAGTTTACGGCCTGCGGTAGGCGCTCTGTGAGTGGCAGGACACACTGCGTGCTACGCTAGCTGACCTGCAGTTCATCCCGTCGTCTGCAGACCCCTCACTCTTCATTCGGGCGGGCCAGACCCCATTCCACATCCTTGTCTGCGTTGACAACCTGGTCTTCGCTACTGCTAAAAGAGACGTATTGGCCTCCGTCAAGGCCAAGCTGTTGAGAAGACACACTTGCACTGACCTGGGAGAGCTGCACCACTACCTTGGCCTGCAGATCTCCAGGGACAGAGCAGTGCGCACCATCACTCTCACACAGTCACACTTGGTGCGCCAGGTCCTCCAGAGGTTCAGTCTTCAGTTCTCATCTGCAAAACCCACACGTCTGCCAGTAGACCACAGGCTCTCTGCTCCAGTTCCTAAGGAGTCAGTAGAGCCAAGTGGTCCTTACGCAGAGCTTGTGGGTTGCCTCGTATACATGATAACTTGCACTCGTCCTGATCTCGCATACCCTCTCAACATCCTGGCTCGCTTTGTGGCGCCAGGCAAACACCGGCCACAGCACTGGTCGGCCGCTAAGAGGGTTTTGCGTTATCTAGCAAGTACATTGGGCATGGGTCTAGTGCTAGGAGGACGCAGGCCAGTGGTCCTTACAGGGAACACAGACGCTTTGTGGGCAGATGACACTGAGATGCTCAGGTCCTCCTAGGGCTACTGCTTTAGCCTTAGTTCGGGTGCCATCTCGTGGAGGTCCACTCGCTCGTCATCTGTTGCCCAGTCTAGCTGTGAGGCTGAGATCTATGCCGGTGCCATGGCGGTACATTGGCTCCACTGGCTAACTTTCTTGCTCACAGACTTAGATGAGCGGCCTAGCTCTGCCTCGGTCCTGTACGCTGACAACAGGGCCATGATCCTCCTGTGTCAGGAGCCTCGACTGGAGGGCAGAGCGAAGCACATCCAGTTGCGGTACTTCTTCCTGCGTGAGCTACAGCAGCGCCGCCAGGCCCAGGTAGTACACTTGGCCTCCGGTGCCAATACAGGTGATATCTTTACGAAGACGCTTGCGCCAAAAGATCATCAGCGGCAGTGTGTACAGCTTGGTCTAGTTCCTTTAGCTTCTCACTTGCTAGGACCTTGATTGTATACTATATCATATATTACCTTGAATGGCCTTGTGGCCCCTGTTCCAGTGGCTAGACTAGTAGTGTCGCCCTGGGTTGCTCTTGTCTAGTTTGTACTCTTCCTGACTGGTCTTCGGGCCCTTGCCTCAGAGGTTGGACTAGTAGTGCCACCCTAAGCTGCTTGTCTCTTGCTCGGCACTGCCCCTTATCTAGCTTAGGGGGTGTGTCTAACATACATATATGTTGTTACTATATGCTAGATAGGTGCGTACTCATAGAGGGTACAACACTCTATCTTATATTCCTTGTACCCCATCTTTCTAGTCGACTTGCTAACTCTGAGAACCAAACCTTACCGATCTCTGCCTATGGATTACAAAATCGATACAACTCCACTTGACAACACTGAACTACAGGTTTATCCGCACCAGCTGGATTGTCTTCTATTCGCAGCTGTGCACATGTCGCCCAGATCGCGCCTATGCCGCTAGCGAGCTCGCGCAATATCTTCGTCGAACTGAGTGGGAGAATCGGCTAGATCTTCTTTGCGCCCTACAATAATTTATTTCGAAACCTGAAGTCGGACTTACCTACCACGTCGCCACTACGATAACTCTATATCTCGACGGGTATGTCGATGCTGATCATGCAGCAGATAGTTTTAGTCGACGATCTCGCACTGGCTTTATATATCGTCTCAAACCTATCGGGACCATCTTCTAAAATTTTGCAAAGTAAGAGCTCATACCTCTCTCATCTACTGAAGCCGGGTCTATAGCTGCTTGCACAACTACTCGCGAAGGTCTCTCTACCTGCAAGAGCTACTGGAGGAAGCGAAATTGACGACAAGTACACAGTTCACCCTACAGTGCGACGACCAGAGTGTGATCAAAATTGCACACCAGCCTGGCTTCGCCAACAAGACCAAACACATTTTGCTACGATACTTCTTCGTCAAGGATGAGATCGAGAAGGGGAGGATGCGATTGGTCTACTGCTCGACCAATGAAATGGTTGCAGATTTTCTCACCAAGAAGCTGACACGTCATAAGATCCAGTACTGCAACGAGCTCTACAGAATCATAAAGAGGTAGCTCTATTGGACTTCCGGAAATGAAGGGGAGTGTTGTGATAAATTCATAATTCAGCATTTCTATAAGTAGTTCCGATAGATATTATCGAGTTACACTGTAGTTAGTGTTAGGAGAGGGTTTAGCTAGGTAGGAGAATTAGCGAGAAAAAAGAGGGTCGACTAGGAAAGAGAGAGAGGTGCAGGAGGGGGGTTGTCCTCTCTACAGTGGGACCCAGAATTGTAGAATACCTACAAAGCCTACACAAATATATATATATATATGTATATATATATATGTATATTGACACACCCCCTAGTCTTGTGAGGTGCAAGCACACTACACACGCAACACCCCCAAACCCTTGCACCCCCATGTCATATAATAGCTGTGGTCTCTACCCCCTTGTGCAAAACAACGACATCGGCGGTGGGTGGCAGCAACGACGTTAGCGGCAGCTACGACGACAACAGCGGCGGCGGCAATGGTGGGTGGCGGCGGAGCCAGCGGCACCTGCAGCGGCGGCTTCGACGATGGCGACGGCGACTGCGAAGCTTGCGGCTCCCGGCGGCGTGGCACGGCCCAACGACGTGGAGGAAGGGAGCCATCAGCTGCGGCTGGGATGAGAGGAGACGCAAGGGAGGGGGCGTGCCTTCAGCGAGGCGCCCTGGCTGACGCGCTAGCTAGCGTGCGGATGTGCTGGCTGGCACCTAAACCAGTGCGCTGGCCGCTGCCGTCCGTGCGCTGGCGCATCGAAGCTGCCACGGCAGCACGACGATGCCACAGCAGCGCGACGAGGCCGCCGCGGCAGCGCGGCGAGGC